AGAGTTCACATGGACAAACAACTCCCCGGGGCCAAACTTCATACAATCCAAAATTGATAGAGTTTTTACAAATCAGATATGAATAAATAAATGGTCAGAGGCTAAGGTTGAATTTCATAATGGCATAAGTGATCATAAAGACATGATCATATCACAAATAGAGAAAGGAGCAAAGCCTTTCAGGCTATACAACTTATGGCTAGAGGAGGAAACTTTCTGTGGGATAGTAAGAGAGGAGTTAAAGAAAACCACCAAAGGCACAGGCTTATTTAGGCTGCAATACAGGCTTAAGGCAACAAAAACTAGAATTAAGCAATGGGCTGCAGAAAAAGAGAATTCTATAAAACTAGCACTAGAGGTAGGGAAAAAATTAAACACTATCTCCACTGCCGTAGAGAAAGACCCAAGCTCTGTCCAACTACAAACCAAAAGTGTAGAACTGCGGAAGGACCTCAAAATACTACTTCTCAGAGAAGAAGCAAATTTAAAACAAAGGAGCAAGGTCTCCTGGCTAAAGAAAGGTGACAAAAACAATAGATTTTTCAACATTGCCACAAAACAGAGAAAATCAAGAAACTCCACCCTTAAAGTATTAAATAGGGAAGGGAATCAAAATATAACAATAACCCAACTTGAAAATAATAGTATGACCTACTTTAAAAATTTATTCAAAAAAGAGAACTCTCCGCACCCAGACATTCCAACCATATTTCCAAAAATAGTAACCACTGAGATGAATGATTGGATAGCACAACTCCCCTTGGAGGAGGTAAGAGAGGTGCTTTTTGCCTTTAACACAAACAAATCACCAGGCCCAGATGGTTTTACCTCTGAATTCTTTAAGAAATTCTGGAATGAACTTAAAAGGAACATAATGGACTGTGTAACACAATTTTTCAAAGGGAAATCTTTACTAAGGTCCACAAACCATACCTTCCTAACCCTTATCCCAAAATCCAACACTGCATCTGAAATGGGAGATTTCAGACCAATATCCTGTGTCAACCTAATATATAAATTAATGACAAAAATCCTCACAAACAGGATAAATAAGGACTTGCCATAATTCATATCACCAAACCAGACAACTTTTATAAATGGTACGTTAATATCAGATAATACATTGCTGACAGATGAAATGCTCTATGGGTATGGTAGGAAAAGAACCCCCAAAAGATGCTGCATAAGCATCGACCTTTGGAAAGCATTTGACACAATCAAATGGGCGACCATACGCTGGAGCAGGTTAAGCGGATCCGGGTCGGATCCGCCTAACCCATATACCCATTTAAATCATTTAAAATAGAAGGTGAGGGTTTTAAAAACCCTAACTCCTCTTTTATTTCTTATTTCTTCCCTTTTCTCCCACATTTGAACCCCAAACCCTAAATTTTCAGACCATCTCCTCCACCCATTTTCTCCGGCGACCTTAGACGACCAGATAGCAACCTCCGACGAGCTCCAGGGCACCACCGGTGGACGTCGTCCGTCACCTCCGGCGAGCTCCGACGATCGTCGACCAAGGTATTTTTCTGTCCAATACCTTTTTCTCCATGGTTTCCATCTGTCCAGCCCTATATCTAACTCCGGACAGCCATAAATCGCACTCCGGCAAGCTTTTAAATAACAATCCGACGAGCTCCAGGGCACCTCTGGAAAATCATGAACATCCCCACACCCACCACTATATACCCAAACATCAAAATAGGAGACCTAATTGAGGCATGTCAAAAGCTAACACATCACTCTCAAATTTGGGGCCTATTATGGAATATGATTGGAGCCTTGAGTTGACACATATGGGCTGAAAGAAACAGAAGATGGCAGCAACATTCTCTCAGACCACCAGAAACGGGTTCTTAAGGGGGTTTTAAATGACATCAACAACTCCTTTAGGCCAGAGAGCTTCAAAAAGAGTTGTCACCCTTTGGAACCTAGCACGATACAAATATGGGAGACCAACCTCCGGAGGCAGATAGCCTAGCTTCTGTACTAGGCAATATGGCTGTGTGGAAAGTGCCAAAATGAGACTTGCTCTCATTTCCATATTTATATCTATATTATATTTTATTGCTAGTTCTCATTGTATCAGGGCAACACCTCTCATTTTTATAAATGAAAAATTTAACTGCTTCAAAAAAAAACTTGATGGGCATATGAAATTGTCGGGTGGAGTGGTTCTTTTTTTAGTGGGATTATGAAGGTTCTGTTGGGACTAAGTCCACTGGGGGATGTAATTGATTTTTCCAAAATTATAGGGATTGACACAAATGATTGATAAATGGGGCCTACTTTAAGATTGATAAATGATTGATAAATCGGTTACCTCGACAAGCAACACTAGCCACACTGGTTGAACCGATGGCCGGACAGAAGACAAGCTACTATGGGTTAATAGGAGGATTTTTCCTGGAAAAAGATGGGAAAGACCATGACTAACAAAAAAAGAGCAAAGAATGCTCTGCTACAGGAACCTTGCCGAAGGTGACCACTGGTAAGCAGATTAGTACAATCTTCTTCTTTTGCCAAATCCCCTCCAATGGGAGAGTAGGAAGATTCAATTAGCAAACAACAAAGAACATTGCATCCTTTGTTTAGCAACATGGCATACATACTAGTAATATTTGCTCGTTTTGCATATTACTTTGGCATCAGTTGATTGTCTGTACTGATATTATGGTTGTGTTTGTTCGTTATACCTAGCTTTTATTTTATTTATTATGTAGTGTGTTTATTCACTGCAAGAATGGAATCTAGGCTAATCCACAACAATACCTTCCATGGGTTATCAGAGAAATAGAAGTTGTCAACCACCGACAGGGGAGGACAATAAACCTCCGACTGTGAGGTTTGGACTGAATCACACACGGCTTATTGTAGAGCAGGAAATTCTAGTCAAGAAAAAGAATATCTCGGCATCTCTATGCGAGCTATTAGAACCCCACCGTCCAGCAAAGAAATACATTCCTTCCTGAAGAAAGCCAACTTTGACGGACTATTTCTTTTATAAAGAAGATACCTACCAGGTAAACCTAAGTCCTAACTACATTGACGGACTATCTCTGAGGGACAGATTGGTCTTGGGACTTCGATGCACTGATAATCATCAAAAAAGAAGATCCAAATTTCCTTCAAAGAGGACATGCTCTATACTCAGATTCCATTTGGCAATTTTCTAGTGAATAACATATAAAAAAATATAAAATACCAAAGTCAAATGATAGGTAATGAAAATAGAGTGAAATATTATATTTTAAAATAATTTGTAATTTTTTTTTTTGAAGCAATTAAATTTCATTAAAAAATAAGGCAATTGCCTAGTTTATAAAAATAGAGTATAGAAATAAAACAGAAGTAAAAAGAAATAATTTGTTATATAATAATTTGTCAATTTCATTAAAATATAAAATACCAAAGTCAGATGAGATGTGATGAGAATAGAGTGTGATATTATATTTTAAAATAATTTATATATTTCAAAAAAGAATGAAACATGTAAGGTGAAAAAATACAAGACCCAAATAAGGTTGAAAATTAAACATTTTACCAGTTCATGTTTTCAGATTCTGCACTATTCTTCAGTATCCACTTAGCCACCATAGTACAGTCCACCGGTCTGTGTGCTTCCTCAGTGCACTGCAAGTTAAATATTTTTAAGTTGTTTTGTATATTACTCAATAACTGATAAAATAAAATACACAAAATGAATCTTATTCCCATATAAGTGCAAGTGCATGTGTATGTGCTATAATAATCTTATAATTAAATTTTACATATTTGAATAGCTCAATAGCCCAAATATAATTAATTCATCATTCCATCCAAATATCCAATGATAAGCCCATAAACATTTACTGATAGTCTGATATTAAATGTTATTACAATATTACATTCCGGATCATATCTGTAACTTATCTTGTGGCCTTGTAAAATTGACTTTCATCATTTCATTTTATTTAGTAGTGTTGTAAATGGTAATACCGAAATCTGAAGTCCATTATTCCCAAAGACTGAGGAGAATGAGGAATGCAAACCCAAACAGATTGTCTACTATGCAAGAGTCAGGATGAATCTAGAGTTCAACTTTTCTTCAATTGCACATATTTAAGAACAGTCTTCAATTTCTTCAATATGCATTGACAGACACCCACCCAAATATGGTCTGACATTAAGATTGCAAATCTCATTAAAGCCCACCAGAAATTCACACACGAATCCCTCCACCTTAGAACCTGCTTTGGAACCCCATGGGATGCATTGCTTGGAACCTCTAGTTTGAAAGGAACAGAAGGTTAAAACAACACACCTTTAGGTGTACAGAAATTCCCAGTTGGGCAATCATTAGGGACACAGCTTCTCCTTCAAATTATCTAATTTCAGGAAGGCCTGTTCAACTTCCTAAGGCAATTCAATTATTTTATAATAACTAGTTTTAATGCTATTTAGGAAAGTGTTGATGATCCGTGTATCATCTCCCTATCTTTTTATTTTTCCTATCTCTGAGATACATAAATCAAGGCACAACCTGTCATTATCTAATGAAAAAATTAAATTCCATGGAAGAAAAAAATCTTATCTAATTTGGATACCCATATAACCAATCTCAAACAATCCAAATTGAAATAGAACAAATGAATAACATCAATTGATTAGACAATCATATCGTACAGATTTACAGTCATCTATCTGATGATTCTGATCAGATATTTTAAAAACCCTGGAAATACCAAATTTTGGATTCAAATTACCATTTTTCTTTCTGAATATTTTTGAATCAGGTGTGGATAGAGGAGCATAAGTCCTGGTCTGACCTAAACCCATCCCGGTGGAAGTGTGTTTGAGGTGAATATTTCACCTCGTTTGGGTCATATAGATCCGGACTATTAAATAACTTGACGCATCTCCCTTCCAAGTCGCATTCGCGCATATGCGCGCGCATCCCGAACTATGAGCCCACGAGCCTGGGCTCGAACTTAGCCTGCAGGTTAAAATAAATAATTTGAAGACATGGGGGATCGAACCCATGACCTCGCATGCTAAGCAAACATTTTACCATTTGTGCTACATCTTCATTCTCTCTAAATATAATATTTTTTTATACTTCTTACAAAGCCCACCGAGCTTAACGAACTTGAGCTTCAGGCTCGCGAGCCCTGGGCCGGATCCGGACTTGTTTTAAGTTATTAAATAACTTAAAACAGGGTTTTGCGTTTTCAGAGTTTCTGAAAACGCAAAACACTCCCTAGGGGTTTTGCTCTCTCTCCCCATTGCTCCCAACTCCGGTTAGCTATTTCCCCAATTTTTGCGGCAGTGTTCAGGCGTTCCTCTGGCGAGCTTCCAGCGAACTAATTTGTAGCAGAAAAAAAGTCAAAAAAGGTTTAAAAAAATTCCGATTTTTTTTAATCTGTTTTATCTTCCTTCGTGATGACGACCATGAGGTTGAAAATGTTCAAGAGAATGAAGATAAGGGTGAACCCCATCCTGAACCTATGGATGTAAATCATTTGTTCTATAAACGGCTAAAGAGGACACGGGATCACCTATAGACCGTATTATGTATTTCAACTTTCAAGTTTGAATAGTCTATGTGTTTTAAACTACTTTAACTATTTTGATATATTTTATGAAGTAGATATATTTCAGGTATATAAAAAATATATGAAAAACCTTTTTTATATATATTTACGAAAATGCCACTTGCGCAAAGGTGCGCAACAAAAGCGTGCAAAAGCTCAAGTGCTCCAGGTGGTGGCGCATCCTGAACCTTGTGCGGGCTCGAGCTCAAGCCTGGCAATTCTTAAAACAAGCCGAGCCCGAGCTCGGCCAAACCAGGCTCGGCGAGCTCGAGCCCGAGCCTGGATAACTACTTAACGAGCCGAGCCCGAGCCTGGCTCTATAAGCAAAAGCTCGGCTCAGCTCGTTTGACACCCTAGACATACCCACCCCGATTACTTTATATTGTTTTTACATACATGCATTATTGTTCTGTGAAAAATATGAGTATGACGAAGCAACGTGTTGAAAAAAAATGATGGATTTCATATTAATATTTTTTACTTACATTCCAACAAAAGTTGTGTGAGCAATTGCAAGAAACATCAAAGTTAACACTTCCCATGACAAAATCAACAGCATATTCACAGCCAGGAGCTGGACACCACTTGCTCTACAAAAGAAAGAAATTGTAAGCTTTTATTTTTTAAATCTATAAATTGTAAGCTTTGTTTAATTAGAAATTAGTTTTTTTAAATTTTAACACATTATTATCCATATCTGTTCTGTAATCAGTTGAACAGCGAAGATAAAATCATAAAATAAAAGATAAAATAGTTCGCAAAATAATAAAATATGGAAAACTATAAAGGTTTTGACTTTTGACAATTGACATACTGTTATATTATCTTCAATGTAAGATCTGAGAATATATCTTGAATACTTCTCTTTGTCTTCATTACTGGCGAGTAAATTGATCATGTTTTGACCAATTATAGCACCACATGGTGGATCCGGGCATCGTAACATTAAGCATCCAGGACCATCATTAATCGATGTGCTCACATAACCTTAAATGACAACAAAAACACCAACACAAATTATTTCAAGAAAATAGGTCATGTACTAACATAATCTAAATACCATGGAAAAAATATACAATTATTGAAATCAACTTGAAAATTATGGAAAAAATATACTAAGCATTGTGTAGTTTGGGCTTAATTCTACAGATGGAAGTCATAATAAAGCTGCAAAAAATATGCATTGGAACAATGTTTTATTTGCCTACTTATATATAGATATAATTACACAAACCTCTCCAACAGGAATAACAAAAAAAATGTCCACAGGAAGCAGCACACATTCTATCACAAGGATGTCTTTCGAAACAAATCCCACATAAGAGCTGCAATCCAAACTCAGTCAATAACCAAATTTAAAAATAAGAGAGTAGTATCAGACTATCAGTGCAAAAGAAATTCTGGGCAGAGAGACAACAAAACATCTCTTTATTGTATTTAGGTCTATATACATGCAATTGAGTATTACTATTACCACATTCCAGATATGCTCTTAGTCTTTTACCCACAATTTATTATCCCACAAATAATAACAAACTGATAACTAATCATGTATTAGAATTTAGAACTAATTATAAATTATCTATCATTAATGAGTATTAAGTAGACGGCAGAAGTTATGTATGTAAGTTAATTAGAAAAGAAAATCTGTTGATTTTTATTGGTGAAATACAAACCAAAATTTCTTCTCACAACCATAAAAGGTAAAATTGATATTAAAATGTCAAGATTGTGAACTTCATGTTGAGGTGTGACGGGTAAACGAGAGTTAAGTGTGGAGGTCTATTTATTGGTACCCTGTTTTGGGCCAATAAATGAAGTCATTAATTGGAATCAGCCCAGTCTAGTTTACATATCATTGTAACCCAGTCTCTATTATGTTGATTGATTATAATAGAGAGCCATCACCAAGGCAAGAAGAGTTCTTCATCATGGAACACTATAATGGGTGTACACTTAAGTGGAACACTATAAATCTTGTGTTCTTCTCGTTTTCTAATTTACTTTTCTAAATTGTAAATGAATATTGATTCAGATCTGATCTGAATCAATCCTGATGACCTATTTAGTGGAGTGAATTGAATGCCACCTTTATGAGGGAGTGAATCCGAGTATCTGGCGGTTACTGTTGGATTGACACTTCACTCTAGAACTTCATAAAATAGGGGCTTTATTTTTGTGGTCAAAACTCAAAATAAAGTTCCATTAAAAGATATGGAGAACCAAGCTCAAAAATAATTACATATAATTTAGTGAGACATGAACAAGCTTGTCGACACTCTCCTGTCTGGCTTAATTCACAGTGATACCTACGAATGTTGCTTTTATCTGAAGTTTGCTTGGCTTTTTGTGGACTTCTTACTACCAGAGATAGGGGGGGTAAGATACATGATTGGGAGTTTTTTGACTGAGAATGTCAAAATATCTGGTCTGAAAGAAACAGAAAAGTAACACACCTTGAGATCCTTAAAAGTTCCCACAATGGTTATCATCTAGAACATGAGCCTCTCCTTCAAATATGAGGATTTTAGGAAGGATTGTATGAAACTATGAATGTTATGAACAGAGTGAGATCTGGGAAATGGGGGAGATCAAATGATCGATCCCTCCTAAAATGTTATTAATTATCTTATATACACTTTAGGGAGATTGAGATCTAACAGAATCATGCTAACTGATCTGTTAGATCTAAATCATAGAAGTTTCTAGAGTTATTAGTTATCTATACAATATTAACTAATTACACACCATCTAATTATAATATCACATATTGTGAGCAACTGAGCATTGCATATGATTCTACATCCTATAAAAAGCACAATCTTTCACAGATTGAAATACAAGCTATACGCTCATGGGAGTCCAACCTCTTGAGGCTTCGGTCCTTGGCCAGTTAGTCAGGGTCATAGCTATATAAGAGATAGACAATGTTTTTACATTCACTGTACTTGCATTTCCCTATATTCTGTAATATTGGGCTATGCCCAACCTCTTTTTTAGTAATGAAAGTTTTAATTTTTCAAAAAAAAAAATTATAATATCACTAATAGATTGTTATTCTCAATTGGAGAAAGTTATTATATAAGTTTAGGAGACCAACTTCCAGAGGCCAGAAAAGCCACCCAACTTGCTACTTAATCATTATTTGAAAGGTTGTACTAGAATTGATATACCCATTTTAGTTTCAAGTCTAAAAGTATAGAGTTTGAAATAGCATAACACTCAATAATTGATATATGGGCACATAGTTTTCCATGCGCTGGAGCGGGTTTGGATCCGCCTAACCCATATACCCATTTAAATCATTTAAAATATAGGGTGAGGATTTTAAAAACCCTAACTCCTCTTTTATTTCTTATTTCTTCTCTTTTCTTCCCTTCTCTCTCACATTTGAACCCCAAACCCTAAATTTTCAGACCATCTCCTCCACCCATTTTCTCCGGCCATCTACAAGGGAACCTCCGTCCACCTACTAGAGACCCTCTGGCGACCTCAGGCGACCAGTTAAAAACCTCCGGCGAGCTACAGGGCACCTCCGGTGGACGTCGTCCGTCACCTCTAGCGATCGTCGACCAAGGTATTTTTCTATCCAATACCTTTTTCTCCATGTTTTCTATCTGTCTAGCCCTATATCTAACTCCGGACAGCTATAAATCACACTCCGGCAGGCTTTTAAATAACAATCCGACGAGCCCCAGGGCACCTCCGGTGTACTTCCTAATATTTTCAGGCGACGCCTAGGCGCCCTATGCGGTCATGGCCATCGCATGACCACCTGAAAAAGCTTGTGTAGGCATCAACACTGAAATGCCATTTTAAAGTTGAAGTTGCTCGTCCAATTGATCTTCAACTCTTCTCCTATGATTCTTTGTCGATGGCCCGAGAGGTTTGTTGATACCCCCATTGCTAACTCAAAATATACCTAAGTTAAACTTCTTAATGCTATCCAAACATTATGCGGCGGCATCACAATCAGTGAACACACTCGTGCAAAAGCACGCGCATCCAGAGACAGAGTATGCTAACATTTTTGCAATTAAAAATAAATTTACTTTTGCTAAAGAAAATTATTGTATTCATGCTAAAAGATATATTTACTTATCAAATGTGCAATGCATTTTCCAAATCCAATGTCCAAAGACTACAAAATGACACGTGTGAAACCATACAAAAACTCCCTTTTAGTACTCATAATCTCATATAAACAAGAATTGGAATGCATCACACATGCAAATAGAAAAAACTTACTTCTCTAGAAAATGTTCTTGCAACAGGATTCTCATACAAACCAACAGTTTGCCGAACACTCTCTTCATTTGCAAACCAAGCTTCATGCACTTTATCAACATCCCTGTAAAATATTAAACAAAAAATGACAACGAAAACCCAAGCAAACAATGAAGCAAAAAAAATTGATAGAGTTAAAATTTCATTAGAAATGAAACGGGCCTTGTCCAGTTTTACAGGTATATACATAAAGATAAGACCCCTTAAC